TAATTTTATATAATTTATTGTGTGTCATTGCAGGGGATTCTTTGTAAATTGGTAGTGAATGGTAAATAGATGCTTTTTCTCCTCATTAACTGAACAAAGAACAAATGTACACATCTGCAAAAATAATGATTTAAAAAAACAGTTAGAAAAATGTATAAAGGCATGAGATTAAAATAAGATCTAAGGAGCCTCCTGTTCATTCTGACAGCAGCTGTCTGAACTGACCCAAGATGGTCGCCCTCCAGGCACGTCAGCCAGCGTCCAATGAGGCGTCTATGTATATGACATCTATGGTGGCAGCTGGAAACTCACCGTTTCTGAATAAAAACATTCCTAATAAAACCCAGATACCGGATAAAAGAAAAAAATAAGCAGATTTCATCACATTAATTCAGAGTCTCTCCATTAAACCTTTTGATAGCCTGTATGTTAATGAATTGGCTCCCCATATAGCATAATAATAGATATAAAGCCCACATGTTGGTGATGCGTCTGATTTGAAAGCTAAGATCTTCCATCTTCTGGAGATATTTGTATAAATTCTGTAGGTTTTACACAATTTAAGCTTCGTAGCTTCAAACACGTCCAAATAAATCATTTTAAATATTCTATTTATCCCTGCCAGCTATATAGACCTGTTTGCTGCTGTTGTGGAAAACAACAGATTTCTGATCTGGAATAATAAGGCTTTAAAAACTGATGCTTTTTGTATAGAAAAGGTTCGTTCAGGTCGTTTGATCCTGGATTATTGGAATTTAATGACTAATTTGCATGTTGCATGTCTATAATCTCAGAAAATTACATGTTTCTTCTCTTAAATCTGCTACACTCTTCTGGATTTGGATGTTTATAATCTGTTAAATTTCCCTTTTTTTTTCAAACTGGTTTCCTTCTAAATTTTCATGTTTCTAATCTCCTAAATTGGGTTTTTTTTTACTCGTAAAGTTGCGTGTTTAATCTTGTAAATATTTTAACAGAAAGATAAACGAGTTGTACAAATGTTAGCATGGGGTTATTAAAGCAGGCCGGATAATATCTGGTGATGGAGACTTCATGAGGCCCCATCACGAAAACACCTTGGCATCCACATGCTAGGCCAGGGCAATTAATTACATTTGCAATTTAATCTCAATTAAGAAAAAACAGTTTTAAAATTGCAAAGGCGCTGATTTATAATCAAGACTAGGTCACTGCGTTTCCCCCTCCAGCCCTGTAGGTGGCGGTATAGCGCTTGAAGTGGGTTTGTCGCCACACAGAAAGGTACAGAGAGGTACAGCTAGCGGATCCACGCATACAAGCTGAAGTAAACACTTTTTCACAAAGTGTTTACATTTAAATCCCGTAACAATCTCACAAAGTGAAACGTCCGCGATCTTGGAGTTAGCGCAAAGGATAGTCGAAATAAAACTTCAATTTTGGTAAACAATAATCGCCATCTAGATTTAGCTGTCCTGGTTCTGGAAAGGTCTGCAGACAGCGGCGTTTTTCCAGCTGCTGCCAGCCGTCGATCCACCGTGCCGCCATCTTGTTTCTCTCTTTGTTTCTCAGAGCTCCTTTCCTTCTGGGGTATTTGCAGCCACCAAGATCCCCGCAGCGTCTCTGGTCCAGACACTCAGCCTTGAGGAACCCCCCCAGGTCCAGCCAACCAACACCGGTAAGAACCACACGTCCGACCCGTTAGCCCCACCGGACCCAACAGAACCTGTTCTAGCTTGAACGAACCTGCCCCTCTGCAGTCATGTAGGACCCGAAGCTGCTGACCAGCAGTGTGCAGGAACGGGGCGGGGGGGTTCTGACCAGACAGAACCGGATCATTTGGTGTCTTTTCCCCAGAATGGAAAAAAGTGTGGAATGTTTCTTAGACTTCTCTGCCTCCTGCCAACAGAGGGCACCAGAGAGCCCAGCTT